GTCTAGAAGATACACGAGGAGGCGATCTGATGAGATTAATTAGGCACCCAAGTCCCACTGAAAGTCTTAACCCCCCATTAAAAATCTAAATTTTTTAACGGATTTTAAAAAGGTCTGAGATTTGAGTATGAAAAGAGGCACCAAACATCCTTCATTACTTTTTCTACCTTATATTCTTCACTTAACTTCTACACTGGAAAAATAATCTTTTACAAGATGCCTTTTATTGTTTTTACATCTAGTTTTTTAAATGTGTGCCGTCTGAAAACCCATCCAAATCTGGACATATATACACTGGCAACCCATACACAAACTTCTGGGAAGCCATGAGTATTTCACAAAGAAGGTATTATAAAGCAATTTCTACTAGTAAAATATTAACCCAGAGTGAAAGCTATATCAATCATGTACAAACCCCACTGCTCAAGTGCTGAAAATACATTTCATGCTAAAAGTTGACCACAGTTTTTTGTCTATCCCTTGAATCAAAAAGAAAATATTTTCCATATTCTGTTAGTCTCATCATGTATTTCAGTTTTACCAGAAAGAAAATAAGGACTACACAAGCAATTCTCAGCCAGGGTGCCCTAGCACCCTAGGGTCCCCTGGGTTCCTTTCAAGATGCCACACAAATGTTAACATTATTAGGTGTGCAAACATAATTCCCAAGATAAACCCACAGACTTCAGCTAGGAATACAGAGGGTTAAATATTTCATGACTTGTGGTCTTTTGAATTCTCTGCAACAGAAAAGCTACTTTATTATTTTTCCACTGTCAAAAAATAAGTGAAAACTAAGAGCTAGTATTTTCCACAGGGTGCACCTCGAGTCCAAACTGGGGTACCTCAAGTCTAAAAAAAAGTTCAGAACCACTGGACTAAAATAAATGTATTCCTCACCTGTTGCTAATGTCAAAAGAAAGATAAAAAGCTTTAAATCAATAAACTGGTTAACAGAAGGTCTAAGCTAAGTATCGTGCATTATCTTTAGCCTATTTTTCCTCATTGCTCTCTTGGAACAGTGATTTTCCTATCATAGAAGAGGAGTTTTCAACCTTTTTTAATAAGTGTACCCCCCGCAGCCAGATGCAGAGCTTGGGGGAGGGGTGAGCAGCCAGACATGGAGCAGTGGCAGCACAGGGTGGTGGCAGCAGCCACCACATGCAAACCTCCCCCTTCTCTCCCCATGTCCAGCCAGCCGGCACCTACGCAGCCCACAGAAGGGTGCTGCTGCCCCTGCTCCCCTACCAGCCCTGCTCCTGGGAGGCAGCAGCACTCGGTCCCCACCCGCGTATACCCCCTAGGTCTTCCCAAGTGCCCCCAACAACCTCTCTCATAGAAGAAAGGGGTCATAAAAAAGATTTTTTTTAAAAAAAACTACTCCAGAAGTCAAATGTAATAATTTCCTAGATGTTACCTTGATAACTGTGTAATAAGCAAAAGCAATTTTATACTTCTCACTTTTAGTAGTAGTCCTGATCATTTCAACAGCACAACCTGAAGAATAAAAGTACTAATAAAAAGTGAGTAAGTGTGGCAAAAAGTCAGGGTCAGGTCTTAGATTACTTAATTCCTTACAATGTATTACCTGATAACCCTCATGCTGAGATTCAAAAAGGCATTTTTACTATGTTCAATTCAAAGAGTCTGTAGTTCCAAAGTTTACTCTAATTTTCACATTCAGTTTCTCTCAGCAGGCAAGAAACAGATATAAAGATACCTCTTGGAACCATACAGTAGAAACTCTCATTACAAAAAGTTATTTTCTAGCAATTTAGGAATCTGTTTGTTGACACTGTTGGCTATTTGTATTAACTAATGGTCATTTGAGTAGTTAATATCTCCTGTGGATACAGCTTCCAGCAACTACCTTCCATAGAACAAAGGAGACTGCCAACACTTTGCATGATCAATAAAACACAGAACCTCCTCAGGTTGGCACCATAATTTGGCACATGGACTATTAATAGGAATTCCTGAACATTCTTTAGATCAATGGTTATCAGCCTTTTTTCATTTGTAGACCCCTAACAAATTTCAAATGGAGCTGCAGACCCCTTTGAAGTATATACGTGGGTAGTCACATACTTTTGATTGATCATAGTCATCTTTCATGGACCCCTTAGACACAGTCTGCAGACCTCCAGGGGTCCGCGGATCACAGGTTGAAAACCACTGCTTTAGATCATCTAATATCAATATTGTGACACTACTAAACCTGGAGGAAATGAAGATGCACTTTGTCTAGTAATAAACTGTTAAAATTCTTGCTGTTTTGATAGAAAACCTTTTTTATGTGCTTAAAATACATCCACCTAAACCGTGCTGTGCAGTTCTGACTTACGAGAAGGAGCTCCACATTTTTTCATAGACTATCAGCTACCAAGAATATTAATCTGCACACAAAACCTTTAATTTAGAATTAAGGTTCCTCTAGCATACTTACTCACAGTGCAAACAATAAAAAGACATTCCTAAATTAAGGAGCCTTGATCTGCGCCCCCTCCCCC